CTGCTTAGGATTCTTTCTCCCTCTCCCTCTGCCCCCCCACCTTAAAAAAAAAAAAAAGATATAAACAATCCTGGACAAGGAGCCAGGAGGGAGTGGTTGGTGAGCTTGGGGGCATGGGAAAGCTTCCTGGAGTAAGCGTTGAAAAGTGAGTAGGATTTGGGGGTGGCAAAGGCCCCTTCTAACTGGAAAGTTTGGGAGGCAGAGTGCCAACAGCTTGGCCAGGGGAGAGGAAGACCAGGCCAGCTAGACAGGCCTCAAAGCCCCAGGGTCTCTGCCACATCTTGGTCTTGGGTATAGTTCAGGAACACAAATCACTCGGGCTTTTGCAGAGTTTGGTGTGAGCACATTTTCTGAATGATGGTATATTGTCTTTTTTTTTTTTAGACTGGGGAGGGGCAGAGGGAGAGGGAGAGAGAATCTTAAGCAGGCTCCAGGCACAGTGTGGAGTCCCACACGGGGCTCCATCTCACAACCTTGAGATCATGACCTGAGCCAAAATCAAGAGTCGGCTGCTTAACCCACTGAGCCACCCAGGTGCCCCAAAGATGTATTTCCTATCCTATCACTGCTGTAACAAATTGCCACAAACTTAGTGGTTTAAAACAACCCAAATTTATTACCTTACTGTTCTGTGGGTCAGAAGTCTGATGTGGGCTCACTGGTCTAAAGCCGAGCTGCCCTCAGCACTGTGTTCCTTCCTGGGGGCTCTAGGGGAGATTCTGTTTCCTTGCCTTTTGTAGCTAGAGGATGCTGCATTCCTTAGTTCATGCCCCTCGGAATATTCAAAGCCAGCAAGCAATGTTTGGCTGATTCCTTCTGCTGCCCTCTCTGACTCTTGTTCTGCCTCCCTCTTGTTTCTAAGGACCCTTGTGTTTACGTTGGGCCTAACCAGAAAATCTAGGAAAATCTCCTCATCTTAAGGTCAGCTGATAAGCAACCTTAATTCCAACCAAAACCTTAAGTGCTCTTTGCCATGTAACCTAACTTATTCACAGGTTCCAGGGATTAAGACATGGGCGTCTTTGGGGTGGGGGTGGGGGGCATTATTCTCTCTACCACAATGGGTCTACAGCTTTTTGTCAGATTAATTAAAGGGTCTAAGACTAAAAAAAGTATAAATACAGGTCACCCTGGGATGGAGCCAGGAAGGGTCTGGGCAGGGAGGACTCAAGCTGAGAGTGAGAACAGAGGCTGGGGGAGGAGGTGTCTTTTGGAGGAGGTGGGGTGGCCTAGGAACTCCAGAGTAGTTAGAATTTTGGTGGGATGGGTAGGAAGAATGTACTCAGTGCTGGGTGCCTGGAGGAAATGGGGCCCTGAAGGGTGATGCCCAGTACGGTCAGGCCCAGCTGGAGGAGCAGGGGCATTTGTAATAACTTTACCTGAAAAAATGACACAAACGCGGACCCTCATTGGCATGAGCCCTCTGAGTCAGTCCTATGCTGGGCTTTGTATTTGGAAGTTTTCTTTTCTTTTTTTTTTTAAGATTCCCCCCCGCCGCCCCCCCAAATTGAATAACCTTTAAGTCCCACAAAACCTGGTTCCACCCCAGGCCACCAGATCTGACTAGGAGGAAGCAAACAGTGTTTCAGCTGCGGGTAGGAAATGTGGCAAATTAAGATGGACTCACAGTTCAAGAGTAAACAGACTGTAACATCAGAGATGTCATTCCGAGATTGGGAAGGGAAATCAGGTGGAAGCTAGAGAGTGGGGCTGAAGGGAAGGTGCTGGAAAGAAAGGGAATGTATGTTATTATTGCCATGTGGGACTGGGTGTGTTTGCAGACAGGAGAGAATTCAATTTAAGGGCGTCCAGAATTGGAAGTGGGGTAAAGATGGGTTTAGAGGGGACTTTAGCTTTATGTGTGTTTTCATTTTTTTGTAAGGAGAATGTTTTGGGTTACCTGTGTAATTAGGAATTGCTTTGGAGGGGCACCTGGGTGGCTCAGCTGGTTATGGGTGTGCCTTTCGCTCAGGTCATGACCTCATGGTCCTGGGATCTAGCCCCGCAATCATCGGGCTCCCTGCTTAGCAGGGAGTATGCTTTTCCCTCTCCCTCTGTCTCTTCCCTCCCCCATGCCGCCTCCCTCTCCCAGTCTCCCTCTCTCTCTCAAATAAATAGATAAAATCTTAAAAAAAAAAAAAAGGGGGGGGAATTGCTTTGGAAAGGGGGTAGGTAGGCAGGACTTCCTCTGTCTGGAAGTTTGGGAGGACGCTGGCTCTGCAGGAGGCCATTCCCAAGGTCAGCCGTGCAGCCCTGAGTAGAAGGTATGTGGGCCTGTGTAACCTGCTCTATTTCTTTTATGTGTTCTTTTCTGAAAGGCCAGAGCGTGCAGTCACGGTAGTTACATTGACGGAGGTGATTGGTAGATTTTTCCTTTTCTTCTCCAGGCTTTTTAGTTCTGCTTTTATTTTAAGACTCTCCATTTATGTGTATCTTTTATTCCAAGCTTATTCAAATCACTTTTTTTTGATAACAGCTTCATCGAGTTATAACAGCTTCGTCAAGTTCTAATCCATATAACCGCACACTCCAGCCGCTTCAAGCATACAATCCAGTGGTCTTTAGTACATTCCCAGAGGTCCACAACCATCACGACAGTTGGTTATAGCATATTTTCAACGCCCTAAAAAGAAATGCTGTGTCTTTTAGCTGTCAACCCCCAGGCTCCTCCAGGCCACCACTGATCCACTTTCTGTCCCTGTGGGTTTGCCTATTCCAGACATTTCATAAATGGACTCATATCATATGAGTCCTTCTGGGACAAGCTTCTTTCACTTAGCAGCATAAAGCTCTCCGTGTTCAGCCACTGTCCAACACACACCAGCACTTCCTACCTTTTCTGGCTGAATATTCTGCTGTGTGGATATACTACATTTTGTTTATCCATTTATCAGTTGATGAAAATTTGGGTCAAATCCCTTTAAGAAGCAGATTATGTAATTAAAAAAAAAGCAAACTCCAAAAAGGTCACAGATGGAATGTGACTCTTCGTATATTGGTGGAACACACTGCCCTTTTCAGTCTTTGAAGCAAGTGTTTTTTTTTCTAATGGAAATGGGAAATCAAGGACTTCAAAAGTGCTTTTAAAGTTGAGTTATGATTGAAAGCGTGTTTTATGAAAAGCCTTGGAAATGTTTCCCAACTTTCTATGTGTATGTGTTGTGTGCATTCATATGGAGGTATATACGAATATGCATGTGGTTTTAAAAACGGAATTAGTCTTTTCAAAATACTAAAATATTTGCTGGAGAATTAACCTCTGCTGTTTCAGATTTTGGCAAAAATATGATAATTGAATTCTTGGGACCCTTATGCTGGATATGTGGCATTCCCAGCCCTCGGCCCCAAGATATTGGCAGGTCCTCCAGCCCCTGGCATCCAAGTGTCTGGGAAGTTTATTTTTTAAATTTTTTTAAAAAGATTTCATTGAGGGGCGCCTGGGTGGCTCAGTTGGTTAAGCGACTGCCTTTGGCTCAGGTCATGATCCTGGAGTCCTGGGATCGAGTCCCGCATCGGGCT